CAGCAGGAAGTGGCCTCAGGGGGATAAATGTGAAGTAAAAAATGGAGGTATAAACAACTGGGAGAGGCAACAAAAGATGAGAGAGGTGGTCAAAAGATAGGAGGGAGGGGGAAAGAGAGAGGAATGGTTGGATGGATGGATAGCTAGATTGATGGAGGAAGGGCTTAGGGGGATTGGCTGACATTTACCTGGGAGAGAACATTCATATTAGTGCCTGATGCAGCACTCCCCAAGGGAGCTCTGGGCAAACAGGGCTGTCATTTACTCACAGGGAGGAGGATTACCAAACCCCGAAAACACACAGTGATTTCCACACACACTGCACATAATATATAATTCAGGGCGTTTGGTTTTGTCACCCTGCAGCCATCTTGGCTCACAAACAACAGGTATTCATTGTCCAACAACAGGTGTTAGTATTCATAATGACATATATGTTTGAAAATAAATGAATACCAGAGTCACTGTGGTATATTTATGGAAATATGCTGGGGGAATTCTTAAAAGGTCATACGATTTCTATGAATACTATATGAGAGATAATTATCATGTCTTTTATCCTGCACCTAACAGTTCTACCCAACTACAAATGTGTTCTAATTTAGATTATTAATTGAGGCAAAAATTGTTGACTTAATGTTGCGACTACTGGTTAAATACTGTCCAATTAATTGCTATAATGGGTTAAATGATTGTTTAATATACATTTTTTCTTTCTCTATTCATCAGGTTCCACTTTTCTCAGAAACAACCTGCAGACCACCTTCCTGTGTCTTGGATTTACAACGACACTAATCCACCATATCAACTTCGCTGTCATCCCTTCAAACAAATCATCCCCCGGGTGATTAAACCTGCATTTTAGACCATTCCCTATCAGCCCCAATCTGATGGCAGTAATATGGCAAGCTGCAGTTCAGCCACAGGCCAGGGGACCTCAGTCTGGTCCTCCATCAGCTCTAATAAAGCCTGGCCTTGTGTACAGCACACTTCACAGGCAGACAACTGATCCTGTATCAGCGGGAGCTTGTTATATAGCCAGTACCTGCTTAAATTAGGAGTGAAGAATCAATAAAGATGATTCAGAGTGTGCATGAGCAGTTAGCTCAGAAAGGGAGAGCAAATGAGCATCCTACAAAAGCTGTGATTATTGGTCTAGTGCAGTTGCCAGGATCAAGACAGTCTACTGTACGTGAAGTAGGAAAATGATATTTGGGAAGCAATCAGCTCATCCTCCAGTGGACTGTAGTACAGTCTGTTGTATTTACCTTGGTCGGTGGGGATGAGGGGGACGTCCTTGGCAGCAGGAGACACACAGAGTATCTGGTTGCCATTGACATGGCCCTCCACCTCCGTGAGGTTGCCAAAGGAGCAGGTGATGCCTGCAGAAAGGTCTGGAACATCGCTCACCTTCACCAGCAGCTGCACATGGGGTCGGGAACATAACAGTGATGTGACAAAGTTTGTTACTGAACATGGATCAACATGAGCAACAGAGTTAACTATAGGTTAAACTGTCCTGCACACATCAGAGCCAAATCCAGACATGATGATCCAGCAGGCTGATGTTATATTTGCAAGGACATTGGAGAAAAATCTTATTGCACAACCCTAACTTTAATAAAAATGAGACAGTAGGCTGGGAAAGCTGTGAAAAACATTAGTGGCTTGAATGCAGCAGTGTAATAAGCTCCAAAAAAGAAAGAAGAACACACTGCTGCTGGCAAAGCTGTCTATCCACTTTGCCAAGAAATGTTGTTGCTTTATCAACAGCGTGATAATGAAAATGAGGCTGCATTTAGATCATAATGTTTCATTCAAGTTTAGAAAATACAACTGCAAAGGTAGAGACACAGGTAGCGATTCAGACAGTGGTAAACACCAAGCTGAATAAAAGGAAATTAAAAAATGGCCACTTGCCAAATTCCATTTATGGTTTCCTCTTCTTTAGAATTCACAAGGACACACAAATACATAAAACACAAGCAAACACCACCACCACCACACACAAGCACACGACGTCCAGTACATATGCAAAATAAACATGGAGAGATGCATATCGAGGCGTTTGAAGTCATTCTCCTGAGAACACTGACACTGAGGCTGGAGCACTCAGCTGCTCTGCCTAAAAATAAATATATTCTGCGCACAGGGTGTGTGATCTGACTCGCCAGCCAAGAGAGGCAGCCTGGATAATTATCGCCATGGCATTTCACAGCCATGTTCCATTAGCTGTTATTTTTGGGCTATACTGTTTGAAGTTTCTCTTTGTTATATCTGCCTCTCACTAAACACTGTGGGGCTACTGGGACAGGCGAGACAGCTGAGCAGCTTAACTGTAGGCCTTTCAAGACACGCTGACTGTCTCAGTAGCTGACTACAGTGCCTCCCTCGTTAGCTGGCTTACTCTTGTACTCATTGAGAGGATGGATGATTTGGTTTTTTTTGTTTTTTCTTTTTCCTGTTGAGGACCTCTCATCTTCCTGTGTTTTACCTTCACCGTGTTTGTGATGCTTCACTCTGAGGTGTGCCAGAGAGATCGTTGATTACAGCAATCACAGCAATCAATGTCTTTTGTTCAATGTAGAATCCCCCGAGTAACCTCTCTCATTAATTAGCTCTCATCGTTCTACCAAGACACACATACAGATAAATACTCAAACTTTGCTCACGCACATGCAGAGGAAGCAACGCCGCTACAGAAAGTGAGCTCGTCTCCGAGTGTTAAGCCTTTGCTCCTTTTGTTCTGCTGTCCTCCCCAATAATGGCAGCGGTGGGTGTGTTTACAGCTTGGCAGCAGCGACCGGCCTAATTGGTGGCAGAGTTTTAATAAAGGTAATTTGATTGTTTTCTCTGTATTTCTGTCTCTCGCCATGCCCAAATGAAGAGACTGTGTTGTCATGGAGATAGCTGTCTGCCTCTGTGGAATTTGTGAGTGGTTCTGTGGATGGTGTGGTGAGATGACCCTGTTGCTGCTATGGCTCACATAGAAAGAAACCTAACTGATAAAACTGTTGCTTGTAGACCAGATAACAGCAAGAGGTCGACTGAGGACAAACTTACAGCAAAGGGAGAATCACTCCCACAGCCACTGGCACAGTTATCAGATATTCTTACACAGTTAGATTCCAAAATCCAAAATACAAGTAAAAAACCTTCAGTGCTGTTGTTACTGTATATGCATTTTGAAGAGGTCTAGAGATGTTGGCTGTAGCTTTATCTACCATCACCCCCATTCTCACCGAGCTTTATCGAACAAAAGTGCCAAACTATCACATCTGAAAAATTGTAAAGCAGCTTGGTGATAAATTCTGTTGTGAGCAGTTTTACTTGGAATTATGTCGTATGATATGTCACATATCTGTCAGACAGAATAAAAGTGCACACCTGACACAAAAGTATCTGTAGGAGTACCACTAGCGCAGTAGCACAGCTAACAGCAAGACCGACACCTTCTCTTGTGTTTTCTTCAAGTGTGAATGACTCATCTATATAACTGACATACTGCAATTAGTAACATAATCTAACTACCAGTGAGCATTTAGGGTGGAAGCAGACATTTCTAAATCTGACATGGCTAAACCTAAATGAATCAGTCCAAACAGACCGAAAAATGTACTTTCTCTTCTGTGTTTTGATTAATAGACCCTTTGACAGTGTGTTTAAAAAGCTAAAGTGTGTGTCCATACGTGCACATGTGCAACATTCACCAGAGCCTTGCACTGATGCTCGATCTGCCTGTTTTTGCTCAGTCCATGTGGAAATACTGCGCTGTACTCAGCTGTACTTGGACAACTTTAACACCTACACACCCGCCCACACTAACATGTCTTGGCACACATATTGACTGCTCAGTACCAAGTGAGCATATGCACATGGAAACGCCTACGTGGGGGCTCTTATGAACCTTCCCATCTAATGTTTATGCATCAGCCACAATCAAGACTAGGCAAACTGCTATGTGGGATTGTTTAAAATGTTCTGCCTCTGTACGTGGGTAGAGAATATGTATATGGAGGCAAATTTTTCACTGTGATGTGTGCAAGAAGTGGTGGAGATTGCAGGTGCACTGTATGTAGGGATGCGTGTATATGTGTAAACTTACAGGTACGCTGGGCTCTGACACTGCAATGCTGTCTGGGTACACAGTTGCCTTCACGCACTGGTTGAGAGAAGCTGCAAAACGATAGGGCTCATCTGCACGCTCACACCGGTTCCTCTGAGAGCATCTGAAGAGACAGGAGAAGAAGGAGTTACTGATTTTGTTCTTCAACAGGAAGATGAATAAAAATGAAAAAGAGAGGCAGCCAAAGCTATTACAGCACTGAAAAAAACTAAAGTAGTATATGTTACAAAAGTTATAATAGCAAGAAAAACATAAGTAGCCCCACAAATATATCACAGGAAAAAAGTTCAGGAAAGAAAACACTAACGATGAAAAGTAGAGGAAAGGTATGAAAACAGTGACGCAATAACAATAGTTGCAGAAGTGAAAACTGATGTTAGAAGAAATGTGGCAATGAAAACACCATGTGACAGTTAGGGGTAAGAAAGACAAATTGCCAGCGCTGAGACAAGTTTTAAAAGCCCATCCGGCAGCAGATGGAGGAGGAAGGAGAGATGAGGAGTAACAATATCAAAAACACTAACCAGAAATGGAATATTAAACAATGTAATAACAGAAATAGGAGGAAATAATGCTGTGTCAGTGTCTCTTTGACATGAGGTTAATAGTTCACTGTTGTCTACAGAATATGTGACAGGAGTGAGTGAATACCTCGATTTTACAAGACCGGGCCTATAGATAGCATGATTAATTCTACCTACTAAACATTGTACGGACACTACTGTTGATCGAAGTGCATGTCGTTCACCTTTTCATCCACTACCTTTGTCTTAAGATGCCTCAGCTGATCACTAACAGCCTTTAAAATTACACCAGATAATTAGGGGCCTCTTTGGTCCCTTTTCCTCAGTTTTCACCATGTCAGCATTACTCATGCAGATTTGTTTCGTATTGATTGAGGCTGTAAGTGTGACGTGCTCTAAAGTCTGATAATGTATATTGTCATTAAGTCTGCTGCCTTGCTTTGCAAAAACAGATGGCAAGTTGAAAATATAATGCAAAGCACTTTTGGGGTTTTGATGGATTGCTTCAAACTTGGATTACACAAAAGCTATCTGTTGTAAAAATGCATATTTCATGACACTATCATCAATACCACGCTGCCATGTAGGACATGTAGCCCTAAGAGTTTTCTGAACTATTAGGTGGTAATGGCCTGCAGAAAGCTATGCACTCCTAAGAAACACAGAAAACAACAACTGCTTCCAGTGGGAAATTTATTACACCATAGTAATATACTGTGCACCAAAATCATATCTTTCAATCACTGAAAACCTCAGAGATGTAACTAGTTCAGATTATATGCTGTTCACTCATAAGAAATCTTAATGGTCAGTGTATCGAGTATCACACAACACCTGCACAATCCACCACATTCCTCATTAAAACTCAGCCACCTCCTCTTACTTATTAAAACTGGGTGCTCCTACCACCCCATTGCACCAAAGACTCTCTATTCTCATCCATCCCAGCAGTCTAAGTGTCTTGCTAACCGGCTGTCTGGTCACAGCAGCTCTAATTGGGACCCGACGGGTCAGCCGCTGTCCACGATGCTGATGTGCCACTATGAGCCATGTCCATTCTTCCCTGGCTGCTAACTTTGAGTGTGTGTGTGCGTTAGGGTCCGTATCATTCTTCCTAACCACATATTCTCACACATACTGACTCTAAGCTACTACATCTTCATCCACAGCCTCTGTGTGTAATTATGTTGTCAGAAGTTCAAGACACATCCAGCAGACTCACATGAACAGGCACAAGCACGCCGAGGTTCACATCCGACACACCAGGCATGCACACATACAAACACTCATGATGTGCACAGAGCTCCCTGGGGATTTTAGAGAGCAGGGAAATGTAGAATTAGTGTAGTAGTCTGAATCTCCCAGTGGGAAAAGGGGGGCACTCCAGCAGGATCTATGTTTTATGGATTCCCCTTCACCACTTTGGAAAGTGTATTTCCACACTTTAAATGTGAGGAAATACAGTTTTTATTGTTACTCCCGATATGAATTCATTTGCTTTTATGTTTTTATCATTCGATTCCGCCACATTTGCCACGTTTCTCTCTCTGTCTGTCCGTGTCTCTTCGTCCTGTCTCATGCTTTCACAAGCTGAAACTAGTACATGTTTTATAGGCAAGGTGCTTCTCCATCTGCAATTTCACACTTCTTTTACATCAACAATGGGAGCAGAAAATGATGCTTAATGTACTTTCAGGTGTGGGCCACGGCACAATGTTTTATGCATGTCTCTGAGCTACAAGTACAGATGTGGAAACTTGGGCTGTCATTAACTGACAGAAAGCCCTGCATTGATTTTCCTCATTAAGATTCGTCACTAAGATTTATAATTTATACATACTGTACATAAATATATATATATATTCTGTATTTGTTTTTGTTTGTTATTGCTTTTCTAACTGAAAATAAAATTCATTTTTGTGGGGTGAAGTAAGATGTAAGTGCAGCAAGGGGGTGAGGCAGCTGGGGGTGGTAAGGGGTGCAGGATGGCTGCTGTTGCCATGGTTTCAGAAGATGGCCATTATCTCTGTGTAGTTAGAAGCTGACCCC